TGTATGTTGTTGAATTTGGATGGGAATTAAACCAACAAAAAAGTATAGTATGGAACACCATGCAACTAAACAATATGGAACGCCATTGGTGCCAAAATTGATTTATTTTTACACGTTTTCACTGATTCATGATACTTACTTAATATACAATCTTAATATTTTATTAGGAGTAGCTGATGTTTTTCAAGAATTCTCTTTCTATGAGTAGTATGAATAAAAGTAATTTAAAAATGAACAAACTAGTTAAAAATTGTTTGGTTTTAGTCTAAATTTGTGCTGCCATCACATCTCACTCACCAGGGTTTTGCTAAAGTGTGGTGCAAAAACCAAATGGTGGTATGTCTTTGATGTACAGTATTACCTGGAATTAAAATCAACTCCAAATCTCACTACTGAAATATTTGCAGGTCTATTTTCTATATGTCAAACCCCCTAAAAAAAATTCTTAAACCCCTTTTACAACTGCCAAAGCAGAATAAAGCTGTATTAATTCCAGATTGATCCCGAGTGCATTTCCTATTTACATTGAATGAAAAAGTCTGGGTTGCTCCCATTTTACACCGGCAAAGAGCTCGGGTTCAAATACCGCCCTCAATTTTTGTTGCGATGGTGATCATCACTTTGCTCGAGTTCGTTATTGTCAATATTGAAGGAATTAATATGTCGATTGTTTTTAAATTATGCAAATTAAATCAGCAGTTTTGATACCAAGTCTATACCGGAGTATTTTAAATACGGGAAATAAGATTTTGATGAACATTTAAAAACTCATAAAATGCTATTATTTGGAAGATTAACTTTGCATTTGGCTCCGTTTTTAGCTAGCTAGATGCAGTATCAGGACCATAAAAAGCAGAAAAAAATAGGAATTTCGACCATGAATCAGGAGTTCATATTATATGCCCGACATACAAAAATCAGCCAAAAATCTTCTCAAAATCGGGAGTCGTCTTGTACGCGAGTATATACAGTAATGGGGTACTTGCATAGTGTACAGGTATGTTTGACTCACTATAGTGTGTGCAAGTATGGCTGATTCACTATGGTGTGCACAGTACATGTATGGTTACTCACATGGTGTGTGCAGGTATAGTTACTCACATGGTGTGTGCAGGTATGGTTACTCACATGGTGTGTGCATGTATGGTTACTCACATGGTATGTGCAGGTATGGTTACTCAAATGGTGTGTGCATGTATGGTTGACTCACTTGGTGTGTGGAGATATGGTTACTCACATGGTGTGTGCATGTATGGTTACTTACATGGTGTGTGCAGGTATGGTTACTCACATGGTATGTGCAGATAAGGTTACTCGCATAGTGTGTGCAGGTATGGTTGACTCACATGGCGTGTGCAAGTATGGTTGCTCACATGATATATATATTAGGCCTATTTTGTATGATTTTCACACATTGGAGACTATCTGTTCATAGAAACTACAGTTACTATTAAGATGATATGTCTTATATTAATTTTATTGGAGAATATTGTGTCTGTCTGTCACCTAATTGCCTTGTTCCTGACATTTCATGAACCTACCACTACTTGGACTAGTCGTGGATCACGGTATAGAATAAATAAGGTTTGTTTGATTATCTTTATACACAGTCAGATAGCTTGGGACGACAAGAATGATCCACACCTTATTTCCAGAAAGAAATAAGGTGTGAAGTTTTTTTGTTATTATTCAAGATACATCCTTAAGTACACCTGAAAACAGGATAATGTACTTAACGAAAGAGGGTAATTGGTTTTAGAATTAAAAAAACTATGATGTTGATCAATGATTTTTTCCACCTGGATTTAAAAGATAAGTGAGATAAAGGAAGTTGATACTTGGTTAGATATCTTCTGCTGATAACAAAGATCCACACCCTAGTTATAGGAAGAAATAATATGGAGAGTTCGTTATCATTTGGACATACATCCGTAACGATATCTAAAATCAGGAACATTGTTTCTTAATATTGGTTTTGGAATTAAATAAAAAAGTTGTTGAACCTTCATTTAATCCAGCTGGATTCACAAGATAAGAAAAACAGAAAAAGTTCAAGAAATCTGATTGTATATAAAGTTAATCAGAACAACAGAATGTTCATTCAGTATATAAGACAGCATTAAGGAAACAGCACATAGAAACTGCCAAAGCAAACTGCAAACCTCTCTCAGCAGCATCTCACAAGACATAGACAGAAGACTGAGGAAAACTTTAAGGTAAGTAGAAAATGAAATAGGTTTGCTGTTGGTTAATGTACTTAGTAGCATGCTTGTGAATATCAATCTGGAGAAGCCTTATGTCCTACATAAATTAGGCTTTGTCATTGTGCATATTTGTAGTTTAGTTTAGTTTAATAGTTTGAATTTATGTACCTTACAGTGTTTTTTAAGAACACCAGCAGGGTGAAAGAGTCCCTTTAATAAAGTTTTGCTTGCAACTATTCTATTTTAATAGTCTGTAGTTTAGCTTAACTGTAAGTAGGATGGTTATGGACCTGTCTCTTATACACATCTAGATGTGTATAAGAGACAGTACCTAATCATAACACCAACTATTTTCAACACAATATTAGATACACTGGTCCTATACTCTGGAATAATTTACCATCCTCAATTATGAACTCAGTTTCCGTGAAGTCTTTTACCAATAAACTCAGGAATCACCTTGTTTCGCAATACAAAAAAATAATTTAATCGTGACTCGTCTTGCTTGTGTGTGTTTGTGCTGTGTGTTGGTTTGTTTGTTTGTTTGTTTTTTTGTTTTTGTTTGTTTTTTTTTTTTTTGATCTCTGTGTGTTTTTGTGATTTTGTGTTCAGGCCTGCCCAATACAAGATTTTTTTTATATAAATCTTCTCGGGCATGTGCCCTCTTCCTTTTGATTTTGTTTCACAAACCTATCATTTTTAATGAACTCTGTTATTCAATTGCAAATGGTATGAGACGCACTTCTAAATGCTCTACCTGACCTGACCACTCCTCCCCACCTTATTAAATCCCAAGTCATGTCCTTACTATATCTTTTATGCATTGACTAAATATCCTAAGAGCCCAGTAATCTGATCCCACACCCCCTACCCCCCACATGCTATGTCATTATTAATAACATACTTTTTAAAAGGTAAGTAGGCTACACCTACTCTGATACAAGTTGCAGTGTTCACACCCTTACCAATACCAGTAAACCTTCACCCCACCCCTAAACTTCAATAAATTTATTCCATCTAATAATCCAAAAAAACTTTGTGAAAACAATGTACTAATGCACCTACAAAATATTGGGACATGTTCTGTCTTACCTACAGACATGCCTCTTCCACCAACATGCAGTATGTATTATTTATTAATCACTTCCTAGTTCTAATCTTCCTAATCTTTAATCCTTTTCAGGGTTGTCTGTTTTTACTCACATTTTACCAATAACTTTTAATTTTCTACATTGACGACAACCGGAAGACCATATCCCCAATGTTAACAAAGAGATTATCAGGCTTTATCCTCCATAAGTCTTATTAAAATATTAACCACCTTAATTATTTGTAAATTTACTATTTTAAATTTATATTTAATTATAATAAATTGCAAATGTTTATTTTTATAAATCGTTATGTGTATACTTAAATTTCTATTTAATTATAAATTTCTATTTGATTATAGTAAATTGCTTTAAGTGTTTGAAAAAAATTAAATATATAAAGGGAATATAATAATTTAAGCTTATAAATATTGTATAGTAAATAAAGCAAATATAAATTTATGATATTATCACCATTGATAATGTTTACTTTTATTAGGGGTCATTCAACGTTATCAACATTTTTAAAAGTGTACAGACAGTATGCTAGGGGGGAGGGTGTAGACAAATTTCTACACTTTTACATACCGGTATGCATAAAAATGTTGATTCAAAATAACATGCAATATGTAAAACAATGGTAAAATTATAATGTAACCGCGGATATATTATTCATTTTTAAGCAAGCAAGTACACTGCTTTAGTTGACTTCACAAAAAATGGAAAATGGTTTTTCAAAATCAAATTTTTTTTGTACACTTTCAGGGGGGGGGGGGGAGGGAGGGGGTGCCGAAAAAGATTTGTTTGTACACTTGTGAAAATGTTGATAATTGTGAATGACCCTCATTATGTTATGTATATACTTAAATTTCCATTTTAAGATATATTGTCCCTTGCTAATTTCAACAAAATCATAAAAAATAAGTTTGAAATAAACTTGCTCATTTTGCAATAACATACAAATTATTGAATTTAAAAAATGTGTACTCTGATTTTTAAACCAACAAATTATAACAAAAATATTAAAACACTTCCAGTGACTGGAAGTGTTTCTATCATTTTTCGCTGTAAACTGATGGGTAGACATTTTTTAAATACACTAATTTTTGTGTTGAAGTTGATAACTTTTACTTCAAATAAAATATTTTTATGATTTTTTTAATATTTAGCATGGGACAATACATCTTTAATCATAAATTTCTATTAGACTATAGTAAACTGTTATAAATAAATATATAGAGGGGAATATAATAAGTTAAGCTTATAAATATTGTATAGTAAATAAAGCAAGTATAAATTTACAATATTATCTTTATATTGTTTATTAAAGTATACAAGAAGCGTTGGGGAAAAGACAGACAAAACAGAGCACCTTACAATTGTACCAAAAGTTCTAATTATCATTATCATGGGCAGACGTCAAGACGGCAGGCTTATCACGTTTCATAATTCGACACCATTTGCATTCTGTAGCTTAAAAAAATTGGATGGGATGGGGGTGGGGGCTGGGCCCACCTTAATCTGCCACTTTATAAATTTATATAATCGTCCTAGACTTCATATACCTTAGAGCATGATGGAAAAAAAAACTGCCTTCTAGCGTTTTTACGCATGTATTCCACTCCAAAAACTTTTAAATATGGACTTCATTGACAGTAATAACTTGGGTTATGAATACATTTGATAAACTTTCCCACTTTGGTTATTAGTGTTCTGGCTAATGCCCCACCTGACTTAAAACTAACTGTGCATTCTATCAATTTATTACTTTAGGTTTTTATAGTAGTATATTACATTGCACACTATAATGGAAGACCATGACCACATAATTCTTGGAAAAAATAATTCAAATGGTATTTATTATTTTATAATTCACGCAAAAATTAATTCAAATGGCAACTGATAATGACATTAGATTCCTTTAAAAAAAATAAATTCAGTTTTTAAAAATGTATATGACACATTGATTTATGACTTTAAAATAGTTAACAATTTTTTAAGCTATCAGTTTCATCACAAAATTTTACCAATTTTTACCACTCTGTCATTTAGGACCATTTTTACCAGGGCATGATTTTCTGAAGCCTTTTTTTTCTGAGCCATTTTTACCTACATTCTCTAACATCACTTTTTTTAATGATTTTTAAATAAAGTAGTATTACCAGTAAAACAAATTATTTCTTGTATATGAAACTAGCAAAAAACATTCAAATTATGTCAATTAAATGTGATATAAGATTACACATTAAGAATAACATTATGTCAAACATTACAATTCATGCAAAAATTAATTCAAATGGCAACTTATAATGACATTAGATTCCTTTAAAAAAAAAAATATCAGTTTTTAAAAATGTATATGACACATTGATTTATGACTTTTAAGATGAATCTTTTAAGCTATCAGTTTCATCACAAAATTTTACCAATTTTTACCACTCTGTCATTTAGGACCATTTTTTACCAGGGCATGATTTTCTGATGCCTTTTTATTCTGAGTCATTTTTACCTACATTCCCTAACATCACTGCAGTTGCAATGGAAGGAATTAGTTTACTTGCTATGAGAATAAGTAAAACGGATGTATAAATATAATTGGGACAGGGGAGTGTTTTTCTATTGATGTACTTTTCCATTGATGTACTAGAACAAAGAAAGTTTTTTTATTGAATTCCAGTTTGTAGAATGCTAAAGTGCCAACTCTAATCTGCTGAAACCCAGTTTGCCGAAAAGTAGATTGCCAACATATTAATCCCAAATTCCTGTATAATGAAACCCATTTTTATGAAAACCCATTTTTCCGATAGGCAATACACTACATTAAATGTGATAACATAACAGTAGTTATCGATCACTGTTCCTTAGGAGGTTTAGTTTTCTTGATAGGAATCTGGGCCTGCCCAGACCCCACAATATCTAGGTTAGACACTTTTTTATACTTTGTTTCGCAAACTATTTTTTTTTTTAATCACCAGAAGGCGAGGCCAAAAAACATCCAGATTTAGGGTAAAATAAAAATGAAATGTTTATTGGTGAATGTAATGTAGTAATGGAATGGTAAACTACATCATTATCATTTTGAAGTCTGTAAATAATCTATGGGTTTGACTGTTCACCATAACTTTCCTATTTTCTATTTTGCAAAGTTGCATGCATTATTTGTAACTTTTAGAGACTACTGGCAACAACTTGCTTCCAATGCTTGAAATTATATAATTGCTGCGAAGCAGCCAATTCATATTCTTGACAGCAATTTGACCTCTGAAAGGTCATTGTTTGTCAAAAAACTATCGCCTAAGACAACTGAAAAGCGGAGTTTCCTTCTTTCGTTCCACTGGGTAAAATCAATTACTTTAGGCGACGTTTGTAGACTAACCTACTCGTACCAACGTCGGCATGTCGCGACGCTGGAGTACTATTCAGCGTTTTTACTATATCCGTTTTTACTATATTTCTAGGTTTCCTATTTCTACGTTTAATCGGCTCATGTCTCAGCCACAATATTTTAAGGCCAATATTATTTACGAACCCAGTTAAACTTATTTACTAGCCTATTTCAACGTGCTAATTATTACATTTAGGCGATGCTTGTTGTAGTCTGGCATAGTGTTTTCGGAAATAAATACCATTTTATACACATGCGCAGATCGATTCGCCAGCAGCGAGTCATCGCCAGCAGCAGCAGCGAGTCGCCAGCAGAGAGATGTCACTGCAGCAAAACACTATTGTACACGGTACCAACGCTGTTCTAATATAGACAATGGGTCGTGCTCATATTATTTGTTATATTTTTATTATTCATTATTTTCACTTGACTCGCATAAAAAATTTTGTTCGAAGAACATTTTATGCAGTTGTACTTCGCAGCACTTCACTTGCAATTTGCAATTTCTAGTAAAGAAATATACATACCTTATTTTTGGAGATTTCAAGGGAGCAGTGAGCATAATAAAAAAAGCAACTTTTATTTGTTTCTGCAACTACATATTTTTGAGGTGGTGGGTGCGCTAATAAGAATTAAAATTATAGTTTGCCAAATTCCATTTTACTGACCAAAAATTATGAAAACTGAATTTGCCAAATTTCAACCCACTATATTAAAAAACAGTTGATTGGGCAAAATTGATTCGGCAAACTGGCCTACAATAGATCCCTGCTTTTATGGTTCATATAAATATTTTGAATTGTCTAGAATGAATAATATCAAATCTTTTTCTGAAGCAATATGAGCATGGTGATACAAATAATATATAACTTAATCTTTTTCAGATCAAAATGTATCTTGCAATTGCCATACAACTCAGCATTATCTGCATCATCCAAGCATCTGCTCAGCAAGATAGCAAATCCTGTGGAGGCTGTTGTACTGCTCCTGCTGGGATTCCTGGGATTCCAGGAAGCCATGGTGCCCCTGGTGTTCCCGGTCCAGTAGGCATGAAAGGAGATATGGGATGGAAAGGAGACAAGGGAAACGCAGGATCAGATGGGAGAGATGGGCCTCCAGGTGTACAAGGACCAATCGGTCGACCAGGTGTTCCTGGTGTGAAAGGGGAAAGAGGAGAGAAAGGTGAACAAGGTCTCACAAACAGCCAACCTAGATCTGCATTCTCAGTTGGATTCTCAGCAAATCCAGGACGTCTAACCGTTGGTCCAATGAAATATTCAAATATTATTACAAACGTGGGGAGTAACTACAACCAAGGCACAGGGAAGTTTGTCTGTGCACATCCAGGCACTTATGTCTTCCAGTTTACATCAGGGTCAGCTAGCACCGGTAACATTGCAACAAGCATCATGAAGAATGGGCAACGCATTCTCTCTGCATATGAGAGTGGTTCAAGCTATAAATCAGCCACCAACATGGTGGTTCTTGAATTAGCAGCATATGATGAAGTGTGGACTCAGCCTCTGTCAACCAGCTATAACTATTACTATAGTAATGGCAACATTTACTGTTCTTTTTCAGGCTTCCTGCTTTATTCAACTTCATAAGCTAATAATTAAATTGTTGTTCCAAACAAGGACACAAATTAAAAAATGTTTAGTTTTACTTTTTTTAAATGATTTTTAAATAAAGTAGTATTACCAGTAAAGTATTTCTTATATATGAAACTAGCAAAAAACATTCCAATTATGTCAATTAAATGTGATATAAGATTACACATTAAGAATAACATTATGTCAAACATTACAAGTGGAACTCCTTTGCTTCTAATGAAAATGATACTGTGTATAGATTATAGTAGTATAATGATTAGGCAAGTTTTATTATTGGTATAAAATAGCTTATAATGCTACAAGTATAGTGCAAGGTACAGCAATAATGCAACCTAAAGTGCAACTAGTTCATCATATTTGACTAAATGTTTTCCTGGGATTATGTTACTTGGAATTTTCCATTATTATTGCAGAATGAATAAAAGAACCATCTGTTGGCGCATATTTGATATACAGTATTTTTTGGAGTTGACCACATACATTGGCATATCTAGGGGTGCGCATGCCCTCAAATAAAGCTCGCCCCCCCACCCCCCAGTCAGCCCCACCTTGAAATTGTCCAAAACAAAAAAATCATGCTCAAGTAGTTAAATCACCTCATATTATCTTATTTTGCGAACTAGACCCCGCCCCACTTAATCACCGAGTCCCCAAACTTAACCTTCACAACCCCTCCTCTACTTCAAGTCTACTAGATATGCCACTGACCACACAATGTGCAGAAGTATGTTTCATATCATGGTGTGTACAAGTATGAACGATTCACATGGTGTGTGTGCACATATGATTACTGACATGGTGTGTGCAGGCATGGCCAACTCCCATGGTGTGTGCAGGTATGACTGATTCACCATAGTGTGTGTGTGTGTATGTGCAGTTGACCCCAGTGGCGGCTCTAGAAAATATTTTCTGGGGGGCTAAGTTGTCCAACCGGGGGACTTGAGCTCGTAGACTCGAGCTGGGGAAGGGGCTGAAAGGGGGTTCCCCTCCCAAATGAGATTTTTTTTAAAAATAGCAACCTCTGGATGGCCGAAAATGGCACTCTCAAACTGTGACAGACATGTGTTGTCTTGTTGTGGGCCTATTTTTATATGTTTTATGGTCTGACTGCCCGACGAGCTCTGTCCGGCGGAGGGGGGCCTTGACCTGTCAGGTGGAGGACTTTAGCCCCCCCGTCCCCCCGCTGGTGCCGCCACTGGTTGACCCAGACGGTGTTTGCAGGCATGGCTGACTCACATGGTGTGTGCAGGTATGATTACTCACATGGTGGGTGCCAGTATGATTACTTACTGTACATGGTGTGTGTGCGTGGGCGCGCGCGTGTGTGTGTGTATGTATGTATGTACGGTTGATGCACATGGTGTGTGCAGATTGCAAATGCAGATATAGTTGCTCACATGGTGTGTGTATACTAGCTCCATGATACTAGTCTTATCTAGCAAGGTTTTCACACCTTGGTGACTACCAGTCCATAAAGACTAATTAATGTTTCATATTAACTTGTTAGAGAATATATACTGTGTCTGTCTGTCACCTAATTGCCTTGTCCCTGACATTTCATGAACCTGCCACCACTTTGCACCTTGACTGTCATTAATGTCAGTAAAGACTAAATAAGGTTTGTTTGATTATCTTTGTACACAGTTAGATAGGTTGGGATGAAGAATGATCCACACCTTATTTCCAGAAAGAATAATGTGCTAAGTATTGTTATCGTTCCGAAGTACATCCGTAAGTATATCTGAATACAGGATAATGTACTTAACGATAGAAGGTAATTGGTTTTAGAATTCAATAATCAAAGATGTTGATCAATGATTTCATCCACCTGGATTCACAAGATAAGTAAAATAAAGGAAGTTAATGCTCAGTTAGATATATTCTGATGATAACAATGATGCACACCCTAGTTATAGGAAGAAATAAGGTGCGCAGTTCGTTATCATTTGGACATACATCCGTAACGATATCTAAAAACAGGAAAATTGTTTCTTAATATTGGTTTTGGAATTAAATAACAAAGTTGTTGAACCTTCATTTAATCCATCTGGATTCACAAGATAAGCAAAATAGCAAAAGTTCAAGAAATCTGATTGTATATAAAGGTAATTAGAACAACGAAAGGTTCATTCAGTACACAGACAGCATTAAAGCAACAGCACAAAAGGATAGGAAACTGCAAACTGCTCTCATCAACATCCCACAGGATAAAGATTCAGGAAAACTGTCTTAGGTAAGTAAAACTTTAAATAAGTTTACATGCAGTTGCTTATTATAGTAATTTGCAAGTGAACATAATTGGAAAAAAGCCCTATGTTCTGCTTTTCAAACATCGTACGTCTAGTTTTGCTTGCAAATATTGTAGCATGTGGTTTAGTTTACTATAAAAGAATGTTTATGTACTTTCAGTCGCAAAAGATGTTTCACTGTCTATGAGTATTTTTTGGTATATAGTAGAATGTTAATGCACTTACTGGTAATTCAAATGCACAACAACCAGTGATTTTATTCACAAAGTAGAAAAGGCTACAAAAAGTTGCAGATCTGACTTTAGTTTAATAGTTTAATTAATTACTATAAGTGGAGGGCACAGATAGCCTGGCTCAATCCTCTAAATTTTTAGAGTTCTAATTTTTTTTTAATTCAGCTCGAGTGCCATAGCCATGGTGTGGATGAGGTGACCTAGACCCTGCATCTGTCCCCTCCCTGGGGCTTCTCCCCTCTATTTTGAATTCCTGGATCCGCCACAAATTGTCCTCTGTTATTGGGTAGTATTACAAAGAAAACATAAATATTTAAATTCATTCAAAGTATTGCAGTGAAGGATGAGAATCTCAACATCAGTAAGCGGTAAAAATGGCCCAGAAAAAATGGCCCCGGTAAAAAGGCTTCGATTGGTTGGTTAAAATACCCCCCATCCCCCAATGATAAAATTTATTAAATTCAAAATTGATTTTATATTTTAATTTTGAAGTACATAAAATTCTTCAGAAAATCAAAAACTAATCAATCAATCAGTCAATTGATTGAAGTAATATGATTTTATTTAAAACTAATAAATAAACAAATAAACAAATCTAGGTTGCCATAAAATTTAATTAATTAACATATTTGTTTTAATCAATCAATCAGTCAATTTATTGAATTAATATGATTTTATTTAAAACTAATAAATAAACAAATAAACAAATCTAGGTTGCCATAAAATTTAATTAATTAACATATTTGTTTTAATCAATCAATCAGTCAATTGATTGAAGTAATATGATTTTATTTAAAACTAATAAATAAACAAATAAACAAATCTAGGTTGCCATAAAATTTAATTAACATATTTGTTTTAATCAATCAATCAGTCAATTTATTGAATTAATATGATTTGTTTATTTTAAATAAATAATTTAATCAATCAATGTATTATTTGTTTTGTAAATAAAATAATTTATTTTTTAAAACATGCTACTGTCACATAAGTTTAAAAATCTTTTTAGCAGAAATATTTTGTGATAAAAACTGTCAATGATAAAATTTATTAAATTTGAAATTGATTTTATATTTTAATTTTGAAGTACATAAAATTCTGCAGAAAATCAAAAACTAATTAATCAATCAATCAACAAATCATTTGTTTGGTTTAAACTGTTAATCATTTAATTATACTTGGAATTTAATGAATTATACATAACAGAAATAAATTTAGATTAATTTCAAATTGGGTAAAAGAGAAGCACATACGTACTGTATTCTAATTTTACTTGAACAATGAATAAACAAGTGAAGGTTCCCATAAAATTGGGTCACTGTTTATTTATTTATTTATTATTTTAATTCCTTCACATCCAATGGCAAGTGTACTTGGTCCTTAAAGGATGAAACGATTCTTTATAAACCAAGTCTCTTATTAAGGCCTAGGGAGTGGTGTTGCTTTTATGCTGCGCACTTACTGCACTCGATGGTCGTCAGCCAATGCGATTCTATGAACGCAACGCGGCAACGCGCACGCAACTGATCAATTTTAACGATGATCTGTTCAGACGACCCCCGACGGCGTCGAATCGTCTAGCACTCACAGGGCGCGGAGTTGGATTCATTGTGCGACGGTTTGAATTCTGTCTTAATCTATTTTGTTTTCGATGCAGTAGTTTCATATTTATGTACATATTGTTTTTCTTTTACTCATTAGTTTTGTCGTAAGTTCAATTTCTTTTTCCATTTTGGTTTTCTTTTATTCATTTTTCTTGTGATCCACTTGTGATACCAGTGCTACCCCACTGAAAGTGTGATCACAAAAAAGACAGAAATAAATAATTAAATAAATAAATAGTGTGATTTATTCAGGTTAGAAAGTTAACTTGTAATTGCAAAAATAGTGGAATCAGTCTATATAATATATTTTCATATGCTAATCATTTGTTTTCATTGTATTTACTGATTGTAAATATTATATGGATATTAGTATCCAAATTATTTCACACCGTAGGCATAAATTTTTTTTTTTTTTGAAGAAAAATATCCGACACAGATATTTTCTTTTTTGCAGAGAAAATTTATTTAAATATATTTATATAGTTTATATTTCAATTACTTCAAAACTATGCTTGGATTATTATTCCTCCCATTTCTTTCACGGAATAACTCTCTGTTGCACACAATATATTTCTTATCATGTGCAACATTTCTACCACAATTTCTGCCATTAAGAGTTAATTCATTGATGCATAGAACGAACAAAAACAACCATTGCTTCTAATAAATATTGAAAATAGGGTCAAGTAAATGTTATTCCCCCAACTTTGTGGAATGATCAATGACATTACTACTTTATATTTAGTGAATTGCCGTCGTTGTTGTTTGCGTAAAATTGAATTGATTCAACTTTACACAACGCAAGACCACAACGCAAGGAAAAAGCTAATTTGCGCATGCTCAAACTGTGGGATTTATAGTAAGTGCTTCGTGTTAACATGTTGGAGATGAGTTATCTTTCATCTTGACCGTCGCTATCTTTATCAATGATGTTGCTACTATTATTACTGTTATTATAATCATTATTATCATAGCCTAGCCTAGCCTGGTCTGGATAGAGCCACTGTGATGGTGTCTACTGTGTGGCATACTGTATATAATACTGTAAATATTAATACTGTATTTATATAATGCATCTTACCCATTCTTCAAAACAATTTATTTACTACACAGGGGTGATGTTGTTGCTATTATTACTGTTATTTTATCATTATTATCATAGCCTAGCCTAGCCTGGTCTGGATAGAGCCACTGTGATGGTGTTCTGCTACTGCGTGGCATACTGTATATAATACTGTAAACATTAATACTGTATTTATATAACCACTGGCGTAGAAAAGTATTTTTCATTGGGGGGATGATTGGCGTGTTAGCCAGTGACGTAACAGGCGTG